ATCCTGGGAGCTGTAGTTTGTGATGGGCGCTGACAGTTGTTAGGAGGAATCCTGGTCTCCTATCAGAGCTATAATTCTCAGAGTGGTTTAGCTCTCAGCCCCTCTTCATTGGGAATTGTAACTCTGGGAGGGGAATGGGGGGGGTCTCCTATCAACTCCCAGCACCCTGAATGAACTACAACTCCCAGAATTACTGGAGTGTGTATGCCTGTTTAAAGCGACATCACAGCGCTTTAAATAAATGGCTTGAAATTGACCCTTCGCTGGATCCAACCCTCAGTCTTTAAGGTATCACAAAGACTCTCTGTCGTTTTGAAGACCATTTATTTATTTTATTAAATATACCGCCCTCCACCTGAAGATCTCGGGTCAGTTCACAGCATAAAAATACAAAAATAAAAACACAAAACACATAACAAAGAACAAAGAAACCCATAACTCCTGTCCCACAAACACACTTAAAAGGACATCGAATGTTAGTAAGCCAAAGGCCGGGTTGATGAAGAACGTTTTTGCCTGGTGCCCAAAGATATGTAATGAAGGCGCCAGGTGAGCCTCCCTGGGGAGAGCATTCCACAAACGGGGAGCCACTGCAAAAAAGTCCCCGCTCTCATGTTGACACCATGCGGACCTCTCGTGGAGGAGGCCCACGAAGAAGGGTCTCAGATGGCGAGTGCAGGGTCTGGGAGATCGCCATCTTAGCTTTACGGGGCATGTGTTTAACTGGCAACAGCATTAAAATGGCCTGCAATGCATTTAATTCGCTGCAGCAGCCGGTGACATCCCCTTGTAGCTGGCAACTGTCTCTTTCCAAGGCAATTACGCTTCTTTCAAGGATATTTTTAACTGAAAGAACAAACTCCCTCTTTGCTTCTTTAATCAGTGCGGCGGGGCAAGCTGTTCCAGACAAAACGGATGCGGAATGGAGAACAAAGCGCCGAAAGGGGAAAAAATATTTAGCAGTGGGGGAAAAGATTCGGGCAGCGAGAAAGGTCGATTCTGCACAACCAGCTGGAAGCTGATCAGGCGGGCGTAGACTTTGGACCCACAGCTGTAGGGCTTTTGGCCTGCTCAGTGTTTACCCTAGCTCTGGAGGCTGAAGGAGGGCTCTTGGGGGTCAGGGTAAAAGACTCAGTGGGGAGAGGCAGCCCCCTGAACAGAAGGGGTCTCCCTGCAGCAGGGGGTGGGAGCTGTTTGCATTGCACACCTCCAGGTAACTGAATATTCGGAGCAGGTTAACCCTTAACACAGGGGGAGGAAGAGGGTAATTGGGGAATCTACAGATGGGAGTAGATGTCCGGGAGAGGGTTGCTGAAAATTATTCTCTGCTGTGGGTTGTGGTCAGCTTGGTGCAAGTTGCTTCTGTCTCTCTGAACCTCAGGCCTCATCCAGACTTCGTTTTGCGCTGTGTTTCCAGGCACTTTAAAGCTCTGTGCCGGAGCATTGGGGTTTGTTTGTTTTGTCCTGGTGCTTTCCCTGGGAAAACTTGAATTATAGTATGCCAGGATAGCTCCGCTGGTTAGAGTGCAGTGCTGATAATGCCAAGGCTACAAGTTCGATTCACCGTATGGACACACCGTATTTTTCGCTCTATAAGACGCACTTTTCCCCCTTCAAAAATTAAGGGGAAATGTGTGTGCGTCTTATGGAGCAAATGCAGGCTCCTTGGCTTCAGCGATAGCAACTCAAAGCCTCCAAAGCGCAGAGGGAGAGCTCCCCCCGCGCTCTGGAGGCTTCGCGTTGCTTTCGCTGAAGCCGCCTGAAGCCCCCAGAGCGCAGCGGGAGTTCCTGCTGCGCTCCGGGGGCTTCAGGCAGTTATCCGCAAGCCTTCGGAGTGCAGCAGGAGTTCCCGCTGCGCTCCGAAGGCTTGCGGATAGCCGCCTGAAGCCTGGAGAGCGAGAGGGGTCGGTGCACACCGATCCCTCTTGCTCTCCTGGCTTCGCTTCGCTGGAGAGGCGCTGCGCAGCTTTCCCTCTCTGCGCAGCGCCCCTTCAGCGAAGCGGGAGGAGAAGTGGAAGGGGCTCCGTTTCTCCTGCCGCTTCGCTGAAGGGGCGCTGAGCAGAGAGGGGGAGAATTTTCCCCCCTGTTCTCCCCCTCCTATGGTCCGGTGCATCCTATGGTCCGGTGCGTCCTATAGAGCGAAAAATACGGTAGCTGTCAACTTTTCCATTTTCTTGCAAGGAATCCTATTCAGAATAAAGGAATTTCCCTTAAAAAACGGGAAACGTTGACAGCTATGGGATAACAACAACAACACGTTTTTCCCAGCGCCAGGACAAAAACAAAACAAAGCTACTTGGACCTGAAGTTTTACAGCCTGAACCTGTCCCCAGAAATGTGGCAGAAAAGGAAGTCTGGATGAGCTGTCAGTGTTCCACACCTGTAAAATGGGAGCATTAATTGGCTGACTGCAGTCAACTCTTGGCGCAATTCCCCTGCCCAGCTGTAGAGATGCCCTGCTTAAGGGAAAGGTATAAGGAGAGGCTGGGAATGTCCCCTGCCTGAAGAGCTGCTGCCTTGGCCTATAGAGCGAGATGAGCGCGCAACCCCAGAGTCGTTTACGACTGGACTTAACGGTCAGGGGTCCCTTTACCTTTTATATTGCCATTGGCCACAAGGGGGAGCTACAGTGACAGAAGTGGAATCCCTGACTCAGACCTTCCTGTAAATTCAATTAAAAGTCGATATGAATAGAACTTCCTGTTACAGGGTGGCTATATAAATTCAGTTAATATGTTAATAATAAAAATAAATAAATATTCCAGTTAAGAAAAAGCGTTGGCAGCTGAAGACGGTCGGAGAGGCAGTCACGGGGGAAGAGTCTACGGGGCTGTATTCAAAAGAGGAATAATTATTTGTGTTTTGGTTTTTTATTACTTATCATTACCCCTTTTATTACTATATTTATGGAGCGGTGCGTTGTAAACTGCTCTGCGCTAGATATTACGAAGGGCGGTCTAGGAATGCCTTAAAGAAATATATCGGGGTTTCTGTACCCGACATCAGTCGTCCGCAGTGTAGACTCGTTTAAATGAATGGCCGTGTTTAACTGTGGCCCTTTCTTTATTTACCCATTCTTTCATTCATCACATTTATAGCCCCCATTTGTCTCAAAAGGAGCTCAGTTGGCACAGCCACTATTTTGAGCCCTCCGGTACTTTAAAAAAAGAAAAGAAAAAGCGGATAAAGAAAAAACAGAGTGAACTCTTTGGGGAGCATAGTTGCCAATTTTTAAATTGCAAAAAAATGCAGATACCTGAACTGGGCCAAGGGTACAGTAAGACTGGCAAAGTTGGAGCAGATTTTGGCAAGGTGCAATTTGACACTAGTTGATGGGCAGTTAGTAGCGCCTTGCGCAATTCTGAATCTTATAACAATGCAATCTTGCAATTATAAAATAACAGGGGTGCATTGCCACAATCAATGTTCCATATCTGCTGCATTTCCGCTAGATCTACTACCGTATTTTTCGCTCCATAAGACGCACTTTTTCCCTCCTAAAAAGTAAGGGGAATTGTGAGTGCGTCTTATGGATCGAATGGCGCTGCGCAGAGAGGGAGAGCTGCGCAGCGCCTCTTCAGCAAAGCACCTATCCTGGCTTCTGCCTTAGCCGCTGCAGCCTCTTCGGGCAGGGGGAGCCTTCATCCCGCTGCCCTGAAGAGGCTTGGCGCAGCTATCCCAGAAGCCACAACAGCCAGATGCTATCCCAGAAACCAGATCCCTCTTGCTGTTCTGGCTTCTGGGATTCAGAATATTTATTTTCTTGTTTCCCTCCTCCAAAAACTAGGTGCGCCTTATGGTCTGGTGCGTCTTATGGAGCGAAAACACAGTATGTTCTGTGACCCAAGCTGTGTTTTCCATTTTACATCACAGAACATGTGCATGATTCCCTCAAAACTTCCAGCGTCCCTAAAGGCTCGGCTTTGCAGCATGCGGTGGCTTAAAAGCTCCCCCTTTCGTGCTGATTGAGTGGCTCTGAGATGCTGGAGGCAGGGACCCTACAACGACAGAAATATTGCATCAACAGCACGACGCTGGACCACTGGTCACACAGGGTGAAATCTGATGGGCGACAGGCGAAGCCTGACCGAAAATAAATGGACCGCTTTGCTGGCTCCCTGACAGCAGCAGAATTCAGGGGTGTAGGCCCTGAAAAGTTTGCACCAGCCTTCCCCAATCTGGTGCCCTCGGGTGTTTTTGACTACCGCTCCCATCAGTGTGGGCAAGGAGTGATGGGAGTTGTAGTCCAAACCTTCTGGATCAGGCAGCAGGGTTTTTGGGGTGGGTTTGGAACATAGCTGTCAACTTACAGATTTGAAAATAAGGGACCAGCAGCCTTGAAAATAAGGGATCAGCAGCCAAAATAAGGGATTTTCAGAGCACAGGTATGTTCGACTTCTGAGCCCCTCCGAGCCAAAGGCAGAAAGCCCAGACAGCAGCCAAACGAAGCCTCAAGCAGTGGTTCCCACAGCGCAGCAACCCGGCAAAGGGGATGCAGCAAGGAAAACCACCGTCCCCTCTCCGCTGGGAAGCGCTGAGCAAAGGCGAGTCCCCAGGCAAGGCGGCTGATTTGATCGGCACAAGGCATGCAAGCTCCACCCCCCAGTCGTTCTCAGACTCCTTATTGGTTGAGCAATGCAGCCAAGCAACACAGTTGGAGCCTCCCTCCTCCCTGGCCGGCAGGGAGGGAGGGAGAGGAGCTGCTTCCTTTGAAACCCAGGAAATTTAAGGGACATCATCAATAAGGGGCAGCAGCGGGACACGGCACTGGCGTAAGGGACTTTCCCGCCAAATAAGGGACGGTTGACAGATATGCCCCAATCTGGTGCCCTCGGGTGTTCTTGACTACCGTTCCCATCAGTGCGGGCAAGGACTGATGGGAGTTGTAGTCCAAACCTCCTGGATCAGGCAGCAGGGTTTTGGGGGTGGGTTTGGAAACTGCCTGACCCCAATTCCCCTCCTCCCCGTCCACCCTGCCTCCACCTGGTGTTAGTGCCAACCTAAGGGGGGTGACCTTGCAGAGGGGTCTCCTTGGCGCTGGGGGTGGCAGTGGCAGCGCCGTGCTGCTTCATAAAGTCCCGCCTTTCTCGGGCTCTCCGGTTCTGGAACCAAATCTTCACCTTGGGGGGAGGAAGAAAGAGAAATAGAGAAAGAGGAGGTCAATTGCCCGTCGCCCAGATTTGACCCACTTGGGATGCTCAGCCCCTGGGCAGTTCCTACGAAAATACGGAAGAGAGAAATGGGTCTGAAAACTGGAAATGGGTCGGTGCCTTCTCCCACAGCAGTGTGGTGGACTAGACTACTAGGACCCTGGGGACCAGGGTTCAAATCCCCACTTGGGCCCAAATGCTTGGGCCAGTCCCCGTCTGCCTCTCTTTATATATAGGTAAAGGTAAAGGGACCCCTGACCATTAGGTCCAGTTGTGACCAACTCTGGGGTTGCGGTGCTCATCTCGCTTTACTGGCCGAGGGAGCCGGCCCATCGCGGGGATTCAAACTGCCGACCTTCTGATTGGCAAGTCCTAGGCTCTGTGGATTAACCCTGGTTCTGAATGGGGTAACTGTGCCCCTGAAGGACCAGGTGCGCAGCCTGGGAGTCATTTTGGATGCATAGCTGTCTATGGAGGCACAGGTCAATTCTGTGTCCTGGGCAGCTGTCTCCCAGCTCCATCCGGTACTCAGGCTGAGACCCTACCTACCCGCAGACTGTCTCACCAGTGTGGTGCATGCTCTGGTTATCTCCCGCTTGGACTACTGCCATGTGCTCTGCGTGGGGCTACCTTTGAAGGTGACTCGGAAACTGCAATTAATCCAGAATGCGGCAGCTAGACTGGTGACTGGGAGCGGCCGCCAAGACCGTATAACACCGGTCCTGAGAGATCTGCATTGGCTCCCAGTACGTTTCCGAGCACAATTCAAAGTGTTGGTGCTGACCTTTAAAGCCCTAAACGGCCTCGGCCCAGTATACCTGAAGGAGCATCTCCACCTCCATCGTTCTGCCTGGATGCTGAGGTCCAGCGCTGAGGGCCTTCTGGCGGTTCCCTCATTGCAAGAAGTGAGGTTACAGGGAACCAGGCAGAGGGCCTTCTCGGTAGTGGCGCCCGCCCTGTGGAACGCCCTCCCACCAGATGTCAAAGAGAAAAATAACTACTTTTAGAAGACATCTGAAGGCTGTTTAGGGAAGCTTTTAATGTTTAATAGGTTATTGTATTTTGGTGTTTTGTTGGAAGCCGCCCGGAGTGGCTGGGGAAACCCAGCCAGATGGGCAGGGTATAAATAATAAATTGTTGTTGTTGTTGTTGTTGTTGTTGTTGGAAACTGGCAGCCCTCCAGAGCTTTTTTGGACTACAACTCCCATGATGCCTTGCCGTTGCTGCACTGCCTGATGGGAGTCGGAGTCCAAGGACGTCCAGAAGGCTGCCGATTCCCAGTCCCAAGAGCAACTTCGCTTTGCTCCACCAGGAGGCACTGTCCGAAAACTGGGGGGCAAAGGCCACTCCAGGAGCAGCTCAGTGGCCCAGGAATCATAGAGTTCATAGCACTGTTGGGCTGGAAGGGATCCCTGAGGGTCATCCAGCCCAACCCGCTGCCGTGCAGGAGGTGGCAGAGCTACAGCAGCAGAGGTGCCCACGGGGTTGGAGGACTAGGGTTCTTTCTTACCCGGTTCTCCGTGAGGCCCAGTAGCAGTGCCACTTCTTTCATCTGTTCAGTGCTCAGATAATGCGTTTGTTGGAAGCTGCTCTCCAGGATCCCCAGCTGAGAGGCAGAGAAGGGGACCCGGGGGCTTCGGTAGGGGGGCCGGGGGCCGCAGCTCATCTGCTTCATCTCTGCAGAGAAGGGAGAAAAACTAGGTCAGAACCTGGAGCGCTGGAAGAATTGGCACAGGAAACACTTGTTCTACCTTCCTGGGATACCTGTACCTTTATTTTATTTTTATTTATTTTCTAATTTTTATTTCAAAACTCCCCAAAAATTACAAACCTCAAATTCAAAATCCATATTCATTTTCTAACATAAGCCTATGACATAGATTACCAAAATTAAAATATATCTAATTGCTCTAGGCTTCCCTTTGCTATATGTAAATACAACACAATTAACAAATTATAGTATATATATATTTTTGTAAAAAAATATTCAATTTTTTAAATTGATTTTCACATAATTATGAGCAAACAAACATAAAGCATAACCTTATTAAAAATTACACTTATTAACATTGTTAAGTGACTTCCTCGCTTCCCCTTGGTTGAATTTCAGTGTATATCCTTTTAACGGTTTTCCAAATCACAGTTCTTATAAAATTTAACTTGAAGATTAGCATCCTTAAATCTTTTCATTTTGAAATTACATATATTAATTCATCACTTAACTTATATAACAAATTATAACAAAGATGTAACAAATTATATTATAAATGATATTATAGGTTCCCGTAAACCCCCCACTCCCATGCATGATCTCAATATTTTACTTCTTCCATCTTGTTGCGTTGTTATAATTTAATAATTATTCAATTGATTCTATTATTATTTTCTTGCTTACCCCTGCACGTTTTACACATTCCCTATTAATATTTCAATTCCGGAACCATATGTTTTCATGTATTCCTTCACTCCATCCCACTCTCTAATTATGGATACCTGTACCTTTAAAGGCCCTCCAGATTTTCACAGAATTGTAGAGTCGGAAGGGACCCCAACGCCCCTGCAATGGAAGAACCTTTTGCCCAATGCGGCACTCGAACCCACGACCCTAAGATTAAGAAGCTCATTGAGCCCTGCCAAGCTACAACTCCCATCAGCCCGAGAAAGCACAGCCAATAGCCAGGGAAGATGGGAGTTGTAGTTCAGTAATGCCTGAATTCCATACAGTAATGTATGGAAGTGAGAGCTGGACCATCAAGAAGGCTGATCGCCGTAGAATTGATGCTTTTGAATTCTGGTGCTGGAGGAGACTCTTGAGAGTCCCATGGACTGCAAGAAGATCAAACCGATCCATTCTGAAGGAAATCAGCCCTGAGTGCTCACTGGAAGGACAGATCCTGAAGCAGAGGCTCCAAGACTTTGGCCACCTCATGAGAAGAGAAGACTCCCTGGAAAAGACCCTGATGTTGGGAAAGATGGAGGGCACAAGGAGAAGGGGACGACAGAGGACGAGATGGTGGGACAGTGTTCTCGAAGCTATGAACATGAGTTTGACCAAACTGCGGGAGGCAGTGGAAGACAGGAGTGGCTGGCGTGTTCTGCTCCATGGGGTCACGAAGAGGCGGACATGACTAAACGACTAAACAACAACAATGCCTGAAGGGCCAGTAGTTCCCCATGCCTGCCTTTGGCCCATCCCTGGCAAAACTATCTGCCGACTTAAGTTTCTAGACCTCTTGGTTAACAATACGTCTGCAGACAGATAATGGAGGCAGCTACGTGCATGCAGTAAGTAAAAAGGTAAAGGTACCTCTGCCCGTACGGGCCAGTCTTGACAGACTCTAGGGTTGTGCGGTCATCTCACTCTATAGGCCGGGAGCCAGCGCTGTCCGCAGACACTTCCGGGTCACGTGGCCAGTGTGACAAGCTGCATCTGGCGAGCCAGCACACGGAACGCCGTTTACCTTCCCGCTAGTAAGCGGTCCCTATTTATCTACTTGCACCCGGGGGTGCTTTCGAACTGCTAGGTTGGCAGGCGCTGGGACCGAGCGACGGGAGCGTACCCCGCCGCAGGGATTCGAACTGCCAACCTTTCGATCAGCAAGTCCTAGGCGCTGAGGCTTTTACCCACAGCGCCACCCGCGTCCCTTGCGCCACGGGACCCCTGACCATTAGCTCCAGTCGTGGCTGACTCTGGGGTTGCGGCTCTCATCTCGCTTTACTGGCCGAGGGAGCCGGTGGCCAGCATGACTAAGCCGCTTCTGGCGAACCAGAGCAGCACACGGAAACACCATTTACCTTCCCGCCGGAGGTATTTATCTACTTGCACTTTGACGTGCTTTCAAACTGCTAGGTTGGCAGGAGCAGGGACCGAGCAACGGGAGCTCACCCCGTCGCGGGGATTCGAACCGCCATCCTTCTGATCGGCCAGTCCTAGCCTCTGTGGTTTAACCCACAGCGCCATCCGCGTCACGTGCATGCAGTAAACGGACGCAAGTATTAGTTATCCATGCCAACCAGAACAAATGCTTAGTCAAGACAGGGCACAGTCTAACCACCGCGTAAGATTTGCGTAAGCAAATCAGGATAAATACAGTGGTACCTCGGGTTAAGTACTTAATTCGTTCCAGAGGTCCGTTCTTAACCTGAAACTGTTCTTAACCTGAAGCACCACTTTAGCTAATGGGGCCTCTGCTGCTGCCGTGCCGCCGGAGCATGATTTCTATTCTCATCCTGAAGCAAAGTTCTTAACCTGAAGCACTATTTCTGGGTTAGCGGAGTCTGTAACCTGAAACGTCTGTAACCTGAAGCGTATTTAACCCGAGGTACCACTGTATTGACTAAACGGTTCGCCCGGAGGAGCTCAGGACAACACCTGTGTTTTATCCTGGCTCCTCCAGCGCAGCCCTGGAAGGCGATGGAGGCAACTTTTTGGTGCTGAGACCTTACTTGGAACGGAAGGGGGCTTTAAGTGGCCGCAATCCATCCAGGTGTAGCCTTGAGAGGGGCTGCCCCATGGCGTGACGCTTGCTCCTTCTGCCGGCTCCTGGTGTGTCTCCCCTTCCCCTTCGGAGCCATCCTGGGCCAGAATGGAACGAATGGAGAAATCCGCCACTCGCTGGGTAGGCTTGGTCCTCTGCGGAACGAGGAGGTCCCAGCGGCTCGGATGATGCCACAGAGGCTGCAACTGGGGGGCCAAGGTGGCAGCCCCATCTCTGCTGACCAGGAGGGACAGGGGAAGCCTTTCGGTGTTGGCCATTCGTCTCGAAGCTCCGATGGCGCCTTCCTCGTTGGGCTCAGCCGGCGGGTTCTGGGGGAGAGGTGAGGCGTGGAAAGAGCTGCCACTGCCCGGACCCCCCTCTATTTAAGAGCCAGGGCTGGGCTTGTGGAGGCAGAGGGAGATTTGCGAGGGATTTACCTGGGACCAATCCAGAGGCCTGCTCCGGAGGGATAAGATCACCTGACAGGAGCCGAATCGGTCGGGGATGGAAGGCACCGAACCAGTTGCCAAAGTCTCCTGTTACAGGCGGAGGCGTTGAATGGGACACCTGATCTTCTAGGTCAAAAAGAAATTTGTAGCAATCAGTGACAAATCCTCACCGCCCTCGGCTTTCTTTGGTGATTCATTTAGGAGCGGGGGGAGAGATCTGGACCTGGAAGCCCTTCTCCTGGATCTGCTGCCGTCGAAAGATTCAGGAACAAAAAACTGCATAAATAAAAAGAAAATAATTATTCGACACAGTGCGTACGGTTGAACTATGGAACTCGCTGCTGCAGGAGACGGCCACCTGGCTTTAAAAGGGGATTGGACAAATTCATGAAGGTGTAATAAACGAAAATCTTCCCTTATTCCCTTATGGGGGGACACAAGAGCCCTTATAGAGTCCTTTGTAGGTTCTCCATCGGTCAGAGAAAATAACAAGAGGCCAACCAGAGAATATTGAGAAGCAAAGCAGCTCGTAAGCCTGATCTTTATTGAACTGTTGCAACAGGGTGCTCCCCTCACACGCAGGAAAGGAGGAGGACCCCAAACAAAGGTGTGCCCCCCCCTTAAATAGACATTTTTAATTGACCGCCCTGCAGTCCAAGACCATCCCCCAGAAACATCATACATACACCACAGAAGGGATATAGCTCAAGACCACCACCCCAGATACATCACACCTACATGACAGAAAGGGGTGGTCTACAACAGAAATCTGAGTGCATTGTTTATCTTCTGTCTGGCAGGTTACCTAATATTGTTCACTTGATTGGATTACCTGGACAGTCTTTTGTAATGATAAATACTTAGTTCCTGAGCCAGGTCACAGGCTCACCCTATTCATACACAGACATACCCTTAAGACAGGATTTGTGAATGAAAAGACAATGGGGAGGCTTTTCCCTTTTCCTTCGACCCTGCAGAGAAATATTTGAGGTCAATTTAGGAGGGACAAAATGGTTTCAGGACTTTTCTGTGGGGTTTCAGACATGTGGTTTATATATGCCGTTATGAACATTTAATCTTTCAATTTTTTTATTTCAAAGGCTATCGGGAGAAGCAGTTCTGCTTCTGAACGCAAGTAGCTGGGAACTGCAGGAAGGGAGAGTTGATCTTGTGTTCGAATCCTGAACGCATCTGGTTGACCACTGTGAGAACAGGATGCTGGGCCAGATGGGCCGTTGGCCTGATCCAGTCGGCTTTTCTTGTGCTCTTTCAGTAGTGCAGCAAACGGCACTCTCCACATGCTCCAAGATAGCCACTTCTTTTTTTTAAATGTATTTTTATTAAAGATTTCCTTGGTTTACAAAAGTATGTGCAATGTGTCCCTCTCTCTCTCTTTTTCTCCAAGTAACATGGATCAGTTTCATTTGTTGAGACATTAGGAAGAAGAGGGGGAAAGGGGGGAAAAGATGAGTGGGGGTGGGGTCGGGTGGCGATGTTTCTATTATACTTAATATATGTGGGGGGTTTTGTCAGCATCACTTGTGCAGGTTCTCTGCTGTTCGCTTGTGTTCCTTTGGTGGTGAGAGAGGCTGGGGTTGGCCTAGGGTGTGGTTGTTCATTTGTGGTTGGCTGTGGTGGTCTTTGTTTTCGTGTGTGAGTGGGGTGGGTGGGTGTTTTGGATCAGGTTAGCCGTATTGATTTGTATGCTGTTGGTGGGTTTTTGTCGTTGTCTCGTTGGGCTGTGTACGTGATAAAGGGGAGCGAAGGCGTCTTCTTCTGTTTGTCCCCGTGTTAGTTTCAGTTTATTGGTTAATTTTTCTAGCAGAGCTGTTTCCCATACTATTTGGTACCCGTGGTCCATGCTTACTCCTGACAGGATTAGCTGCTCTCCCTGTGCAAAGGTCAGAGGGGGCAGGGTTTCTGTTGAGTCAGGTGATTAGCTGTGGGAGGAGCTTATCAGAGCTTGCAGGGCAGCGGCGCGCGCAGTTTGATCCATCTTTTAGATTTAGGGGAGCTAGTCTCAAACGTATGTTGGGGGAGACCCATGTGTTTTTTTTGTGGGGGGAGTTATTTGTCCTGTCTTCACGCTTTTTATGATGGAGGACTGCTGTAGCCACCCCCAACGACACGTTCTCAAGATGGAGGGGGAGGGAACAGCTGCAGTCGCCTGCGGTTCCTGCGCAATGTTTGCCATCTTGCCAAAGGTTGCAGGCAGCTTTACCTGCAGCAATTGCATGTTGATTGCCCTCTTAGAAGACAAAGTCCAGCAACTGGAGGAACGTGTAGCTACGCTCCAAAGAATTAGAGAGCTGGAGCTCTTCTTGGAAGCAACAGAGCACACCGTCTCCACCAAGGAGGAGACAAGGGACTCCCCTGAGAAGGAGGCTAGTTCACCAACACAGGAGCCAGATATATGGAGAAACGTGACTCAAAGAAGTAGGAGGCCCAGGGTTCGTTCTGATTGTTTAGAAATACACAATAGCTTTGAAGTCCTCTCCCCTAGCATGGAAGACGAAGAACAGACTCCATTTGAGGATCTCTCCCTCATTACAGTCGATCAGGTATATGAAGACGAGCAGCAAAGTCAGTCCTCAGGGAATGTGCAGGCGACCTTGGAACGGACAGCTCACGGAAGAACCCCGACCAAACCTAAGAGGAGGCGTGTAGTGGTGATAGGGGATTCCCTACTGAGGGGAACAGAAGCAGTGATCTGTGGGCCTGACAAGATGTCTCGGGAGGTGTGCTGTCTCCCCGGGGCTAAGATCCAAGATGTAACTGAACGACTGCAAGGAATCATAAAACCCACTGACAAATACCCCTTCCTCTTGGTTCTTGTGGGAACCAATGACACTGCAAGCAACTAACTAACTAATGTGGGGGAGGGAGACAGTGCTCCTGAAGGTAGGAGTCTATCAATTGATGAAGATGATCATCCAAATGTCATAGACCAAATGGAGCAAACAGCACGCAGACCTAGTGGTGGGAGGAAAAAATCCTTAAATAAGAGACACGGGGGAATGATTAATGGACTTCAATGTCTGTACACTAATGCGCAAAGCATGGGAAATAAACAAGATGAGCTTGAGCTCTTGGTACAGCAAATTAAATATGACATAATAGGCATCACTGAAACCTGGTGGGATAAGTCCCACGATTGGAATGTAATAATGGAGGGATACAATCTATTTCAGAGAAACAGACCAGACAAGAAAGGAGGAGGAGTGGCGTTATATGTCAGGGATGTGTATACCTGTGAAGAGATCCAAGATTTAGAACCTCAAAGCCAAAGTGAGAGCATTTGGGTCAAAATTAAGGGAGAGAAGAATAACAGAGACCTCATTGTGGGAGTTTACTATAGATCCCCAAGCCAAACGGAGGACATAGATGATGCCTTCCTGGAACAGATGGCCAAGCACGCAAAAGGAAGGGAGATAGTAGTAATGGGGGACTTCAATTACCCGGATATTTGTTGGATGTCAAACTCAGCCAAGAGCATAAGGTCAAACAGATTCCTCACTGGCCTTGCAGACAACTTCATTGTCCAGAAAGTGGGAGAAGCAACAAGAGAAACAGCCATTTTAGATCTGGTCCTAACCAATGTTGACGACCTGGTTAGTGGGGTAGAAATGGAAGGATCATTAGGTGCGAGTGATCATGCTCTTCTGAAGTTTACTATACAGCGGAAAGGAGCAGCCAAGCATACTAGGACTCAATTTCTTGACTTTAAGAAAGCCGACTTCATAAAACTTAGGGAAGTGCTGGGTGAGATCCCATGGACAGTAATACTAAAAGGAAAGGGAGTTCATGATGGCTGGGAGTTTGTTAAGAGGGAGATAGTAAAAGCACAACGTCAGGCAATACCAATGAGACGGAAACATGGAAGGTGCCTAAAGAAGCCAGGGTGGCTATCTAAAGAACTTTCAACTGAGTTAAAATTAAAAAAGGATGTGTACAAAAAATGGAAAAGGGGGGAAACCACCAAAGAGGAATTCAAACAAATAGCCAGCACGTGTAGACACAAAGTCAGAAAAGCTAAAGCACAGAATGAACTCAGGCTTGCTAGAGAGGTTAAAAGCAACAAAAAGGCTTTTATGGGTATGTCCGTAGCAAAAGGAAGAACAAAGAAACAGTGGGGTCACTCAGAGGAGAAGATGGTGAAATGCAAACAGGGGACACAGAAAGGGCTGAACTCCTCAATGCCTTCTTTGCCTCAGTCTTCTCCGATAAAGAAAACAATGCCTGACCTGAAGAATTTGGAGCAAATGATTCAGCAGAGGAAACACAGCCCAGAATAACTAAGGAGATAGTACAAGAATACTTGGCTAGTTTAGATGTATTCAAGTCTCCAGGGCCAGATGAACTGCATCCAAGAGTATTAAAGAACTGGCAGATGTGATCTCAGAACCACTGGCAGTCATCTTTGAGAATTCCTGGAGAACAGGCGAAGTCCCGGCAGACTGGAGGAGGGCAAATGTTGTCCCTATTTTCAAAAAGGGAAAAGAGAGGACCCAAATAATTACCGCCCAGTCAGTCTGACATCAATACCAGGGAAGATTCTGGAGCAGATCATTAAGCAAACAGTCTGTGAGCACCTAGAAAGGAATGCTGTGATCACCAATAGTCAGTATGGATTTCTGAAAAATAAGTCATGTCAGACTAACCTGATCTCGTTTTTGACAGAATTACAAGCCTGGTAGATGAAGGAACGCAGTGGATGTAGCCTACCTTGATTTCAGCAAGGCATTTGACAAGGTGCCCCATGATATTCTTGTAAAGAAGCTGGTAAAATGCGGACTTGACTATGCTACCACTCAGTGGATTTGTAACTG